AAGATATTGCTAGCCTTTCTGAAGCCCTCTTCCTGTGCCCCTCCCCCACCACACTTGTTCTTCTGCGATGGTAGCTGCTGTCCTCATTTCTAGCATCGTAGCTTAGTTTTGGTATTTGGAACATCACACAAAGGGAAGGATCAAGTATGGTATTTGTGTTTCCACAATGAAACTTTTAGTGGGTTTTCTAGATAATGCTAAACAGGTTTTCACAGTAGCTGGAATTCTTTGTCCTCCTAGCAACAATGTATGTATGAGAGTTTCCACTCTCATTACTAAAGTTTAGTATACTCAGTCTCTTCACTGCTAGCATCTTAAAAACTCATGGTGCTGCTGAAACTAGTCTTTCTTTAATTTACTTGTAGAAAGGTAAAAGTATGTTGTAATCAGAAAATTAAAATTACAAAATCATATCTATTACTAATAATGTATAACCAATATTTATTACACAGTGTGTATGAGTGTATTCATAGTTCATAATATTTGACATTGATTCATGTATATTGTAGCTAATTTATGTGATAAAAACAAACATTTTACCTACATGAATAAATGTATAGAGAAAATGAAAAATATAGGATGAAATACCAACTATGGAGATATCTAATTGTTATTTTATTGCCTTATTTTGCTTATATTTCACTGCTAAATTTTCATATTGAGAAAAGCAATGTATCTAATGCCAATGAATGTTCTAATGTATTAAGGACTTTTAAAAAGATTTATTTTATTTTTAAATAGTCGTTTTATTTTAAATTTTGTATGTATTCATGGCTGCAGAGGGGTATGTGCAAGTGAATGTAAGTGTGAGTGGAGGCCAGAAGAGCACACCAGATCCCCTGGGCCTGGATTTATAGGCAGATGTGAGCCGCCTGGTGTGGGTGCTGGGAGCTGAACTCCTTTCCCCTACAAGAACAGGAAGTACTCCTAACCACTGTACCATCTCTCCAGCCCAACTATTTTTTGTTCATATTTGTCTTTGTTGTGGTCGTTGTTGTAGAACAACCAGCTTCCCATGCACCCCTTCCTCCCCAACCTCTCTTTGCCTTTGAGGTTATCACTGTTCACTTCATCACAGTTACAGAAGAATGTTCCTCAAGTTTAAGGCATGGAGTACTGCTGGGATCTATCTATTCAGATTCAGATTCAACAGATTTGGTTGGGGCAGGAAGGGTTGGTCCTGAGAGCTTATAACTCTATGTAATTAATCCACAAGATTTGTCCTGAGATACAAAGCCAGAAGCTGCTTTATCTCAGCCCCCTTGCCCATTTTCTGCCTCTTTGGAGGCTTCTCTAAGAAATTCACAATGGTACTATTACAGCAGAAACAACACTGGTTTGGAGAGAGGAAAAAACCCAAAAGAAGGAAAGTTTATGATGTTATGTCAATGAAGGTGGGTCCAGAAAATCCCTGTAGTCATATACCAAAGTAATATAGTTATTTGCCTTTTTATCATTTTGCCATTCTCTCTATTTTAATATTTCTGCATTATCAGAGCTTTGCACCTGTTGATACTCCTCCCACTCTGCCCTTATGCTGACCAAGCACTTTCAGGATTCTGTCAATTAAGATAGATCATGTGGATCTGGGGTCTCTTTTTGTTTGTTCATTTTCATATCCTAGGGCTAAGATGACTATTATCAATATGTCATGAATGAAAATTAATTTTCTCCTTTCAAAGAAAACACTTCTCATATGTCATGTTTCAGTTAACAAATGTTTATTAATGGAAAAAGTACACCAAAAAACAGTTTATATTCAATTTTGCTAACTCTTAATCTGCTATAACTCCACCATTTCCTCAAAGCACTGTAGAGGCCAATTTATCCTGCCAATTTGTAGGACATATAACAGCTAGCCAGGCCTGTGATAAGTTATATGATAGGACACAGAATGTGGTTATTTTCAAGTCTCAAACTTTTGCTTCAGCTTTTAGAAACATTAGATGAAGAAAACTTCCCATCAAAAATTTTAAAGTGCAAGAAAACATTGTGAAAATCATCCTGCTGTTAGCATAAGCCTGGACTTTACAAAAGAACCCACTGGTAGCCAGCTCTTTGAAGGATAAGTCCAAGTAATTGCTACAACATTCATTTGCTCTAATAAACAAATGTACAGCCCCTGTATGTAGATCTGGTTATTATTAATGTGTTTCTTTTCCCCTTCAAACGCTGTCATATTTGCTAATGCCAGGTGTAGAGAGAACAGGGCATTTACCTTATTTAAAAAACTTCCTCAAGTCTATTATATTTAGCTACCAAGGGCTACTCTTCCTACAGGCAAATGGATAGATCACAACCTTGGGGCTGGTTTTGCCCCTTCAAATTTCCAGCTAAGTTTCATATCTTCCCTGCCTTGCCAATATGTTACCTTCTGTTCACATTAAAGATAAGACAGAAACTCCATGTGAGTTTGTGAAACAGAAGATGGAAGAGATTACCCAAGAAGATCTCCAGGTAGTGTGGAAAATTCCTTGGCCAAGCTATACAAGTGTGGACACTAGCAGGAAACATACTGAAGAGCATGAAGAGTCAGGGCAGCTTCTCCATTTACATTGGCTTTGGAAAAACACACTCAGAATATGTATAAGTTCTACCATCACCCAATTCACTTCCTCTCTGTCCTTCCTTTCATATCAGGGGGACCTCAGATGAAGGCAGTCTGAGATGGTGACTCTGTGGGAACCTCCAAAGCTTCTGCTCTGCCTCCAAACGGGAGACCAGGAATATTAGGTGAAGACTTGTAGAGAAGAAGGCCGGCAAAAGTCCAAAATCATACACAGGTATAGCCCTCCAAGTCCTCACAGCAGAGCAGACATGGAAACCAAGAGAACCTGTGTGCAGCAGTGGTAGATAATACACTGTAATATAGTGTTCTATCCATGTTTCTCTCTCTCCCCCTCCTCTCTCTGTGTGTTTGTGTTTGTGTGTGTTTCTGTCACTATCTATCATCTATCTATCTATCTATCTATCTATCTATCTATCTATCTATCTATCTATCTATCTGTCAACTATCTCCATATGTAGGAAAATCAAATGGACTGAGAGGAGGGGAGCAGAAATCTACAGATGGAAGTGGAGATTCCAGGAGAATGGAGAGAAGAAAAGCTAAGTTTGGCCTGACATGGTGGTGCACACCTGTAATCCCAGAATTTGGGGAACTGAGGCAAAAGAACCTTGAGTTCAAGGCCATCCCATGCTACACAGCTTACTCTTTCTCAAACCAATTTCCAATAAAAAGGAAAAGAAAGAATGGAAGGAAGGAAGAACGAATGAAGGGGGAGGAGGGTCTGAAAGAGTAAGAAAGACAAAGCTTTCTTTGTGTCATGAAGTACATGCAGCTGTGTGGCTTTAGGTCTCAGAGACACCAAATTTAATTGAGTCATATTACCCACCATAGATGTGTAGCAGGTAAGAGCTCACTAACACATGTGCGCTCAGACCTGGTTACAGAGTAGCAGCATTTCATATCAGCTAAAGAAAAGACACATCAAGGTGGTCCTGGGGAAAGAGGAAATCAAGGGGGAAGGTCGAGTTTCACACCAGACTTTGGCTTGAGTTCTTTTCTCACATGGCTGCTAAGGACCCACAATGGCTCCAGGGGAGCTCTCTGGCATTCTGAACATTTCAACGGCATGCACTGCTTGGCCTCTGCTGACGTACTATAATTTTGTGGACTTACAAGATGAGGATGGCTTATTTAAGGCTGAAGCTGTCTTGTCTGGAGAGGAACTTTTGCTACCCTCCTGTTGGGATAAACACCCACCGTGACCTCTTTCAGTGGCAACTGCCATTGAGGCTGGGATTGATGGGAGCTCTGCATGTTATATAGACATGGAACAAAACAGTTCCTTTGAACTAAAATTAGAGGGGAGGAGAAGTATTCTCTGTGAAGGTGGTGATTTGGGCTATTTCTCTGCCCCCATTCCATAGTTATGATCCTTCTGATCAAGTCCTGTTGAACTCAATTTGGCAGAGGGATGAGTTTCTGGACAGGGGCTATGTGCAGATACTGGCTTCTAGCTACAGCACTGACATGAAGAAAGAAACACTCCACCTAAAAGCCTCCAAAAATCACTAATGAGATTTTTTTTTCCTGATGCACACCACCTACTTGCCACCTGGCCCACTCCCCACCTCCCGGTGTGGTGAAGTGTGCTTACCACCCCAGCTCAGGGTCCTTGAAGCCTGCATTTGCGAGGAAACTAGAGTCTGTAATAAACAGAACAAGGGCAGTGAAATGCTTGCAGCTGTTCAACCTTTGATGCTGTAGTCAGAAAATGTGCGCCCAACTTTTCCTCTTGATGTTAATTTCTCTTCATCTATTCTACTGGAGCAGTATGCAGAGGTGAGAGCCTTTCCTGTACCTGAATCTAATGAAATAAAGTTACTTTAAATCAATCTCTCGGGCTTCAGATTTCATTCAGTTTTCAGCTTCTCAGCACGGGGTTTTTCAGGAGAAGCCCTATAGCATTCCACCTTCTAATGCATAGGGAAAGTTCCTCTTAAACATCCTTATTGCTTTTGTCTGTGTAAGCTTTTAGTCCCCTGGTCTTCTGAGTTCAGTGTGGTGGAGGGTTTCTGTCTTAATGGAGACAACTGAAAAAAATCAGCCTATGGAAACAAACCAGAGCCTGAACTCGACCCCATGTAGTCTGGGTGACTGCATCTTTGGATGCCTATGCCTTGGAGTCCTTCCTTTCTGACACTTAGATTTCAGTGCTTCATGTGACTACACAGTAGGTCCATGTGAGAAGAGGTGCTATGGAGTCAGAATAAACCCATAGCTGTTGCCAGTCATTTGCACAAGAGCTGTGTAAAAAAAAGTCCTGGCCTGAGGCCACAGAGGAGATTCCAAACCCATCTGAAACAGAGCTGCTCCCTCTTAGAGTCTCGGGTTTTCTCTCTCTTATACTTGACCAAGGATGGGTCAGTTATTCCCAAGTGTGTGCCTCAAAACTGCAAACAGCTTTCATGAGCAAAGTGTAGGAGACTCTGGGTTAACAAGTTTGAAAAGATTCTTTACTGAAAAATCCATAGAGGTCACATTAAATATTATGAAGAAATTACAAAGTGGGATGCATGAAAGATATTATATTTCTCAAACTGTACACTGTCCAATCCTTTCCATTTTTGAGTGTGTGTTATAGGGAAAAGCGTTCTGCTGGACACATTGCACCATAGCAAAAAAACAAGTTATCTTTAAAATTTGTATCTGAGGAAATACTTTTCTTCTATAATTCCCCCTTTGATTGAAAATCATAATGAATATTTATAGGCAATTTCATAAATTACTACAGAAGATAAATAAAAATATTCAGACATTTAGAGTGCTGAAGCCAAACCTCACTTTAAAATTGGCATTTTAAATGGTAGGAATGAGGCTGTCTGAATTATTATTCTATCTATTTGATGACTCAGACACCTTGATAAATTATCTCTTTGGATTATCTGACTTAATTATCACAAGAATCTTATGATTTGTTGTTTTACATTTACAGATGAAGAAAGCAGGGTCTGATGATATTTCATAAATAATAATAACTATTGCAAGACCATCTAATCAATAAGAGACAGAGGCAGGGCTTCCACTCATTGTCCTGATAGCAATTTAATATTAAATATATTAAATCTCTATATAAAATAACCAATTTATCAAATCTCCTTCTTCCTATACCCCTGTTTGACCACCTTCCATACCAAACTAGAAATAAACTAACTCTAACAATAATTATCTTTCATGTAAAATTTTGAGTTAGCATGAAATAATGTTGACTCATTGACCTCTTAGATGTACTTGAAATATATGTATATATATAACAACTAAATGTTACCAAATGATTTATTATGATTGGTGCTAAATTACAATGTATATGAAATGGAGTCATTATGGAAACACATAAAAATAGTTACCTAGTTTTGTAATTATATTCACACAAGAATCTGAAATATAGTTTCTGTTCTGCCATTTAAAATATATCCACAGAATTACTTTTGCAGTTTTTGCCACACAATTTTACAATACTGATACTGCACCGGTATCATCTACCATACCATAAGAACAAAACAAAGTATGAAAGCAGTTAATAGAAAATGATTTTTTTCCATATCCATCAGTGATTCCAAAGAAGATACTTTGTTCCCATTGGCAGTGAGGATGGATGGTAGTCATTAGCACTGCAGACTTTGCATACATAGACATACATATGTATGAATACACTCATGTGTTGCTCAGGCTATTGCTCCATCTGTAGGGATTTGCCTTTTGAGTTGACCAATGATTGCTGTGCAGTTCTACTGGGACATTGGTAGTATTCTTTTTTTTAACCATGTTTCTCTCACAAATCAAATATACAAGAAAGAAATACAGCAGGCTAAGATCTACAGTGCTACAAAGCAAGGTAAAACAGTTACTAAGTTATCAGTCACAGCAGCTTACGTACTTTTGCTATTCACAGACTGCAGACTCTTGTTGAATATCTGAGCTGATGGAAATTGATGACATATAGACATGCATTCATGTGAATCAATAATTAATGATGTTTATCCTGTAATAAGCACATTCATTTTAACACCATTCAGTAAACAGATTCTCTTAGGGCTTGAGCTAAATCTGCTATCACAATTATACACAAAAGAACCTGTAAACAAGTTGACGTTACACTTATGTACAAGCAAACTGCCTTGGAGAAGCAAAGAGGTAATTTCAATGGGTGTCCCTTAGTATGTATCAATGCGCAACAAACTGACCCATCATCAGGTGCCGGAATGAGGTCAGCAAAAAAGGAACATGAGCAAGGCCCCTGTCAATCACCATTCAGTGTTAGCTCCAGCAAAATCCAGGTACCTCCATGTGGTGTAACATCACATTCAAAGCATCAGAGACAGATGCAAAGAGAAATGTGGCAATCCCTGCTGTATGTATCTGGAGATCTCAGGTAGCTTATTCAACACAGCCCCAAAGTTGAGAAGGGTCAAAGGTGATACGGCTAGCATTTAAACACGTACACTGAATTTAAGGAAACTGTTCTGTTTCTAGTGCTCTGCTTGGTTGTGAAAGATGTGGAGAATGAGAGCGTAACTTTGTGTAGCTTCTTTCCACCATCACAGAGTCGCTCATCACAGACTTAGCTGAATGTTATTGTCAGCCTGAAGAGTGTCACTGGAAGCTGATCCCATTCACAAATTTCAGGGAACTTCTGAAGTGAAGTTCTTGTAAGTTAGTTTCTCTGAATGTTTTAGATAGGATACCATTTCAATAAATCATGAATCCAGTTTCTTATACCGAGAGACAGTAACGAGCAATGTTGGTACCCCCACTTCCCCACCCTGCGTGCTTTCCAAAACTACATTGCTATGCCGTTCTCTAAATTAGGCAGAACATGTTAAGAAAATTCTCCTGATTCAGTTTCCTTTAAAATAAAAATAAAAATAAATAAATGGGAAAAAAAATCCACAAGGGAACTCAAAGAGAGGATGATGTAAAACTTCCTATCCGTTCCAAAATGTTGGGAACAAAGAAAATAACTGCAAGAGTTCTTAAACTTGATTTGAACATTTCATTAAAAAGCAGGAAGAAAGGGTATTTCTTCCTCAAGCCTTCAAGACTACACATGTAGAGAGCCTATGGAGATAATTTGCCTACTTGGATGCCTTGGTGTTTGGTTCTGTGGGCCCTCTCCATAGGTCCCCAGGAAGGAGGAATCTATCAGCTGAACCCTGGCTTGGGAAACAGACTTTCTTTGAAGGATCAGGCTTATGTGCTTACAAACTGATCCCAAGAAGCCCCAGGGAAGCCTGCATAGGTTAACTTCAAACACTTCTCACATTCTCCCATGACCTCCAGAGCACTTGACTCTGACTGAGAGCCTGCCTTTTTGCCCCAAATTTAGACATTTGGCTCTTCTGTCTGTAGGATATCCAAACAAGTAAGACGTGCTTTCTTTCATTTGACTCTGATCCTCCTTTTCTGAACAACTTTTTGATACTTGTATAAACAGGCTGAATAGGTGATTGGCAGGGGACTAGAGAGGGATTGGGGTGCTCGATGTGCCCTGGAGATTTGGCACCTATTTACAATACGTATATTTTAAACTGATTGCTGTAACTTCAACATAGTTAGACTGATAACCAGTGTCACTCATGATCATGCAGGCCGCATAGACCCCATGGACTACAAGAGAGCAATTTCATCAACAGGTGAGTGAGAGAGCCCTGGGCAATAGCCAGTGGGTTTCTGCTGTTGTTTTCTTTTTCTTTTCTTCCTAAAAAATCACCACTTTCGTATGGTGGCATTTTGTTTCTTTCCTTCCACTTTGTTTTGTTTTTGTTGTGAACATTTTGAAACATATAGTTTGAAATTCCAACCCATGGTTTGGCATTTCTTTAAATACAGTTTTATCCATAGAAGTTAAATCTAGGTATTTGTATCATATTCTCTGTATCATTGATAAATATATACATTCATAGTAGAAGAGAATTCTGGAAACCAGAACTGCAATAGACTATCTAGGAAACCAATATAAACTGTAATAATTAGTTTCCTAAACTCAAAATTTCAAAGTTTCAAGTTACATGTTTATGTGTATACATATGTATAGATATATAGCTATTTGTATATATATATACATCTAGATAGATGTACACACATATATACATATATACATGCAATTTATACACCAACACACAAAACACCAGATACCCATGCCCCTTACACACACTCTTGTATTTCATTGCCAATTTTTGCTTTATCCCCCACCCCAGCTCAGAAGAGTAATCAGGAGATACTGTGGGAAGCCAATTCATTTGTATTTTTGATCTGACTTGAATAAAAAATAACCACTAATATTTGCAAAAAAAAGTCAAAATGAGAAAGCAGAAGGGTACATAGACACATGTCTGTATAACACATGTGCACAGCCGCCCGCCCACCTGGTGTGTGTCTTTTGAGTTCTGCCCTGGCGCCCTGTACACAGCATGGCAAGCAGTCTCAGGTCCAGCCCTCCCAGTATGGAAACCAGCCTAGGGTGAGCACTCCTTAGGGCTGGACAGGTGTTATTAGTTGTGCACTATGACTGCCCCCCAGAGGGTTTGGAGTGCAAAGTAAAGTCCATGGCAGAGAGAACAGAGACCTGCCTTCCAAATCTGCCTTTTCCTTATCTCCTCCGAAAATTCATGCCTAAGAGTAGTTGTGGTTTTTAAATAACCCATTTATTTGAAAAAGGGGGCTGGGCAGAGATCATGCGGGCTACCCTTCACTTAAACAGTAAGAGAAAAAGAGAAATAGACAAAAGTTCATAATAAAAAGGGAAGCGGTTATTTGATGGGGTGGTTAAGTCCACAGCCATTGGAATACAAAAATAAGCCCAAGTGAAAACATGTTTCTGCCACTGTTTTTATGGGCCTGTATGCCACTTTCTCTCTCTGAGTGGTATTGAGCTTATCTGTAAGGCAAGCGGCAGTGACAGAGGCCAGGGGCGTGTGGGAGGGTACATTGTTAGATTAGTATATGATTTAGTGAAATGTGGTATGTTAAATACCAAGTAGAGTTTCTGGCATGAAACGACAAATCATTAATAGACATTCCTTAAAACTTGGTTTTTAACTGATAATTCTAATATGTTGATCTAATATACATACATAGGATAAATATAGAAAACATACCGAAATAATATGTTTGGGTGACATGAATTCAAGTTCTTTATCCAAAATTGAATTTCTGAGTAGTTCATATTGTTCGCTGCAGTGGTGTTTACACGGCATGCATTCCACCAATATTTGATGGGTACATACACAAACAAATATATGATTGATTGATTGATTGATTGATTGATTGATTGATTGATTTAAACTCTCCAGTCTTTAGTTTCCCTTTTGTAAAATGGGGATATGATAATCTTTATTCTATCACTTTAATGCTGGTCTGATTAATTTAAAATAGATACCAATTTTTTTAAGGCCACAAAAGTTTCCTCAGAGAGTTGGCATGTGCCTCCTAGATGAGGCTCAGCACCCAGGGCTTCTGAGGCTTGTCATGTCTATGACAACCGGGAGTGAGAACCAGACCTGTGCAAGTCTATGAAACAAGGAAACATATTTTCAAGATCTAAGTGCCATCGTTAATGAACCCAAATAAATAAGGTATAAAATGAACAGTTAAAATAATAAAATCTTTGGTCCACTATGAGAACTTTCTCCCCCTTCCTGAATTTATGTCTGAGACCTTGTAGTCTACTGTTGATCAGCTCAGAAAGCATTCCGGTGGAGTCATGCAAAACCCCAAAGACTCCAAAGTGCTTCGACCTGACTGACAACATCAACGAAGTGTAATTGGGTGAGGAAGGCAAAAAGACTCATCTAGAAATCACCTGGCTGCCTAAACCACAGACAGCCACTTCCCTTTCATGACCCTGAAAAAAACGATGGTGTATTCCTTCTTCTAACCCTCAGCTCTCACATCTATATAAAGTGACGGTTGCATCAGACGTCATAAAAACCCACACACTTAAGTTGGTGATTGTGGTGATTCTTTCCTAGCTTTTGCTTTGACCAGGAGTTTTTTTTCTAGACACGGTGCAGAAAGGAAGTCATGGCTTCTAGCAGGGGGAGGGAAAGGATTCTTTTATCTTTCGGGGCTGGCCACTGGGAGTTTGACCATGCTCCAATGAGTGGGCAGCACAAGCAGGACTTAGTCCTTTTCTTTCTTTATGTGTGTGTGGGGGGGGCGGTGCAAGGGTGGGAGGGTGGACCTGGGAGGAATGGGAGGTGAATGTGATCAGGGTGCACTGTATAGAAATCCTAAATAATCCATAGAGGTATTATATTGGGGAAGAATAAAGGAAAGAAAAAGGAATGTAAAGCATTCCTTCGTTAAGTTTCTCATCTTAGGCAGTATTAGGATTTTTTAATAGACAATTCTTTGCTGTGAGAGTCTTCCTTGAGCACTGGAGGAGTCTTGGCAGTCTCTCATCTCTACTCACTGGATTTCAGCAGCACCCGTCAGTCATGACCGTCAAAAATGTCTTCGGGGATTGCCAAAGACCGCTGGGCCACAAAATCATGCCTAGTTGGCAGGAACTGCCTTAAATGCACACAGCCTAATCAAACCAATAGAATTTCTGAAATTGTTTGTCTCCACACAAAAAGATAAACTACTGACCCCTGGTCACAATGGAGAAAAACAGTTAATGACCGACATGAATTCTAGTTTAACTTCCCCCAAATGCATTCTTCTGGGCTCCAGTTGCAGCCAAGTGCTGGAGCTCTTGTCCCCCTACCTTAGACTCTGGATTCAATTCTGACACTACCTTCTTTTTCTTTCCTATTTGTTTGTTTATTTTTATGTAAGATTTCATGCTTGACTTTACACATCATGACAGGGAGTTTGATCACCCCACACCCTAGAAATGTGTAATGTTTTAATAATATCAGGGGACCAATATTAATCAGTTGATATTTTAAATGATAACCTATCTTTCAGAATTTAAAAATACATTAAATTTTTTAACCAAGGAATTTTCTTATGTACTCACATGATCAATAACCACTGGCCAAACAGGTATGTAAAAGCAAGGCATACACCTGTGTGTACACCCACACCATGAACACACAGCTGCAACTTTGCAGTAACTATTCACTACTTGGCAATGCATCAGTTCTGCTTCCATCAGTGATGGATAGACCCAATATTAGGAAGAAAAAAAAAAAAGAAAGAAAGAACCTAAACTTTTGCTGGTTTTTATTGTGTAAATTCAGGTAATAGCTAAAGGTTCCTTCTAAGAATAACCTAAACAAGACAGAGGAGATCACAGAAGTTCAGACTCACTAAATCCTTAGTTGGCCTTTAAGTGCTTTTACAAGGCTGATTAACAGGAAAATTACCCCTACCCTCCTCCAGGACAAACCATGTGATAATTACTGGGCTAGGGAACATTTTGTCCTTTATCTTTTAAAAAATAGTTTCTCTAAATAAAGGATGGCTGACATTCTAGGGCTTAAAATTCATTACCCAATTAACAATGCAATTTGTTCACAAACAAGAGGAATTTGTTTTTTAAAAAGGTTAGGGAGTTGGGCCAATAAAAGCATCTTCCCATTTGGGTGCAGAGCAGGGAAAGCAACAGAATGAAACAAATTGAACTGTGTGTGTGTGTGTGTGTGTGTGTGTGTGTGTGTGTGTGTGTGTTTATACTGATCAAATAATCTAAGTTAGCTGCTCAAGGTCATCTATTTCATTAGCTGTTTCTCGCTTCCTTTTGTATTTATTTAAATGTTCATTAATGCTCATGACAAGTTAATTATTCTACTTCTTGTTCCATATGGGCATTTGTCATTCATCCAGTTATTCTTCTGTTATATGCTAGGGTCAAGTGGGTGAGTCATTGTAACCTTCCAGCCTCTATGGTGTATGTGTGTGTGAGAGAAAGACAGACAGACAGATGGACAGACAGACAGACAATGGGAGAGAGAGAGAGAGAGAGAGAGAGAGAGAGAGAGAGAAGAGAGAGAGAGAGAGAGAGATTATGGTGTGGCAGTCTCTTCTGGTAGAATCACTGGGGAAAATTATAGAACTTCACTTCCTTTGTGTCCTTACAGTTGGGTTGTCACCATTTTTAATTCCTTCTGTCCTTTCTCATATGCTTATTCTTATACATAGGCTTTTCATTTACATTTTTTGGTTAACATTATGGTTCAAAAATCTCCATCATCTACGAGCCTCATATCCTGCTTACGTTAAACTGGACTAAGCAAGTAATTCAATGGTTCAGGATTGTATTGATTAAACAGCTGAAATCACTGATTATTCCACATTGCTTTGGTGTTATCTGTGTATTTCATCAATGGAACCATGTTTGGTGCAGCATAGTCATTAAATTATGGATTACTTTCTGGCTCCTTTGACCCAAACTGAGTAATAAAATGAACAGCTGGCACAAAAGGCATCATTACTTTCATTCCCTGTTGGGTATTATTAAAATACGCTTCTCTCAGAGATATTCCCCGTCCACCTGGGATAAAGCTATAATGATACAGGCTTTCTGACTGAGGAGCAGAGGCCCATCTGCCAAAAGATAAAGCTGTAATGATATAGGCTTTCCGACTCAAGGAAAAGGCACAAACATAGACCTTATGGGAAGAAGACTTTGGTTGAATGGCAGATGAAGTGATAAAGGGATTTTGGAGACATACTGTGGCCTAGTCCCGAAGCATGATTTTATGGACCTTTCATAGACAGTGAAAGGCACTTGATTTGAATTATATGTTGACTTCTCCTTAGTTCCTCAATAGTATTTCTTAAGGTGTGGTCCTTGGATCATCAAAACTACTAAATACTAGTAGTATACTAGTTCAAAATGCAGATTTCCTGCCCCTGCTAAAAGTTTTATGAATCTGACTCTGAAGTCTACATAAGGGGATCTCCTTTTCAGAAAGTGCCATAAGTGAATTTAATGTGTGATGAATACCAGACTACAAAAGTGTTTGCAGCAGTGGTCACTGGGGGAAAATCCCCTTACCAGTGTCCATAGCAAAATGAGAAGAGCAGACATTTCAAAGCAAATACTGTGGCTGCATCACAAGGCTGTAGTCATTAAAGCTGAAGACTCTTCTTTCCACGGGGATGGGGAGCAATAACCATTTCATCTAGAACCAAAGTGATGAAGGCAATATAAATCAAACTCATTCCAGCATGTTTCATTTCCTCTAATTTCTTTGTAGATATCTATCATTGTGTAGTCCCTTACCAATGACATCTAACTCCATTGTAGGTCCAAATACACACTGCTCACTCTGATTCTTTCTCTAGTGTGTTCTTTTAACACTGTAAGAGAAAATAAATAAATTGGAACAGTAGGCCATCAAGATTGCAAGATGCCAACAATACCAAGACATTAAAGAGAGAAATGGCCCATGCTAAAACCTATAACTCAGCATGCAAATTGGTAAAAACATTTATCTGCCACAGAGTCACCAGGGGGAAAATAATTCCCTTCATTTTTCCTTAGAAAATTGTTATGTCAAGTAGAGATGACAAAAAATTCATCCTATAAGTTCGCAGAAAATGTCTTATTAATTCTGGCAAAGATCAAACATAAGGCCACCATTACTCAAATTCCATGACAATATATCCAATGGTAGAGAATGCCAACTCTCAGCTCTTCTGGGTTGGTCTACTCTACTATATACCAAATTGAAAGATTGAAGTGATAGCAAAGAAAAGTTTGAGAATCAAGTTTTGACTTTCATTGTAGGAACTGTACTGGAGTAATTTTTTTTTTAAATATTGTATCTGCCATTAATTTCCCTCCTTGGAGCATGTTCTGCTTATCAAAAAAAAAAAAAGATACTCAGAGGACTGGAGAGTCTGGAGAAGCAAACATAATCCAGAATCATAAGCAGGGTGGCTAAGAGAATAAATAATGAACAGACACCTGCCAGCTGTGAAAAAGAATGCTTCTGAATCAAACAAGGCCAAGTGATAGGCACATTTGTCATTGCACTCTTCCTCCCTTTTAAAAATGAGGCATGCACGCATGTCCAGTAGGACAGATATGCTGATGTGCACAGGAATACATCACAGTGTATTTTGGAAGCCACTTCACAGGGTTGCTTATGACTACATCAGTGCATTTTTTTCTGAGCAGTGGAAGAGGTAATTATAAATTATGTTAACATGTGTTTTCCTTTTCCCTCTGCTGTTTGCATAGTGTTCCCTTCTTAATAGTGGGTAGGAGGACTTTATAAATATGTCCCTGACTTCAGGAGACTACATATCCATTTAATGACCTCCCCAAGTTCATAGAATTTAGCCTTACAGGATTTCAGAGAAGGCAGCCCAAATTCAGTCTATACACATGTCAAGTCTCATTCATTTGACCATCCAGTACTATTCATTTCTTGATAGCAACAATGTACAGCTCCTGTCAAAATCCACATTCAAGAACTGAACTGTATATAATATTGTTCTGTCCATAACTGAACTTATGGCTCAGAAGCCAGGGATACCAGAATGCTTAATCTCATGGTTCACTTAGCCAAAGATTATTCCCAGTGTGTTGAAGACTACAAGGAGCACGCTAGATAGATCACTCCATGCCAAAGGGAACCTAAGACTTTATATTCTTGGTGCCTCCTCAAAGCCTTTTACTAACCTGGGCTCTATTCCTGAACATGTCAACACCCTCACAAGTGAATGCCATGCTTTTGGTATTTTCTGTTTCAACATTTTACCATGGGGCAGATGCCATTTTACAGGTAGCCCAAAAAAGAAAGTGATATGTTGTTGTTTTTCAACAGATTTCTACTACTTAGCTTGTTAGCTGTGGGTACAGAGTATCTGGGAAGAAAAAAGAAATGCCTTAACAACAGAGCCTGCAGAACATTGCTATAATACTTTGGGTATAGCATTTTATTTCCTATTTGAAAACTGAAGTAGTAACTATGGGTTGATGGCCAGCCCAGTTCTTGAGTGCCTCAATGTCTTGATACAATTATGATTAGGGCTGAAATTTAAGGAAACTGGGGACTTTGGCCAATTTATTCAAATCTCAGATTCTCTGAAAGCCATTTCAGTGAGTCAATGATCATCTGGCCAGTCATTTACATCCACTGTCTTCTGATCCATTAAGATCCATGATGCTTCTCAGTATCTTCTATAGTTACTATGATGGTGTCTTTGATGTACCATCAAGAAACACAGAATGCATTAGTAGGCTTTACACAAAGCTATCCATCAACTATCTGCTAAAATATTAATACACAAAAGAATACTTTTATAAATGATAATTTTCCTGGCAACTCAGCACCTTTCCTTTTTCACTTAAAATTTTAAACTCTCTGAAGCATCAGGACAAGAAAGCATTGCCTTATCCTATTATCCACCTGTGTAGTAAAGAATTACAAAAAATTCAGAAAGACTAACAGGTACCAATAAATCAATGAGGAGATTCTTAAATAACAAATGTACCTAAATGAAAGTTTTCAGAAAGAAGAAACTGGTCATCAGATTTTCCTCCCATAGATATTGTCTGGTTGTCTTTATTACCTGTGCTAATTAAACATATGTGTGTGCACATGTACACACACACACACACACACACACACACACATACACACACACACACCAAAAAATTAGGAATGTTTGGCACATTATAGTGACAAATCATTTTTTCAGTTACCACTGAGATGTGTGAAGAATGCTGAAAATTAAAATTTGTCTTTGGACATTCATTAGCACAAGTGAACAAAAGAACTATTGAGAGATTAATAGAAGACAAGAGTCATGTGGATAGACATTGTTAACAATTTCTTTTGGACTGTATCTATACAGGTCAGGAATATATTTTTTAAAAAGCTTAAAAAGTCAAATTCATAACTTTTGTGTTCCAGCCCCACCCACTCGGGTCATTACAGACATTTTAGAAATGGTACAACTAAACCATAGTATGGCCGCAGCCAGACCCCAGGATCCCAAAGGCAACCAAGCCTGGCTATAAGCAAGCAACAATGTACAGGTGTAGTTTAAAGTTCGTATGAGAAATTAGGAAGCATGTGGGGGTACAAATCCTCTAAAGCAAGCAAACTGAAGGCTGGATGCATCTTCAATCATTGTGTGTTGTTCACAGCTTCACAACTCATAAGGATGCAAAGGACTTGCCTGAATTATACAAAAGGCCTCATCAGGAAAAATGTGGGAAAATTAGAACTCTGATTCAGGTAGAGAGAATGGTGATCATCAAATAAGAATGGAGAAGGCTGAGTGCAGGGCATCTCCAAGCTGTGTTTATGAATGAGAATATCTGCTAGTTTCTTCAAACACAAACAGTGTTCCACTAGCTCATCTCCCTGTCTCCTAATGTAGGGAAAGAGCACGGCAGAGCAAAGGAGCCTGGGGGGGTATTCACTTCAAAATAAGAAAGAGAATTCGTTGATGATGGGAGCCTATTCAGCATTAGAAAGTGTTGCCGAGGGAGGCTGGAAAATCTGCCCAGGAGGGTTTGAATAAAGAGGCAGAGGTTCCTTTGTCTGAAGTGCTCTTGTGGGGGTGGGGGGCAGCTGGCAGCAGGGTGCCAGTCCTTTGCTGTCCAGCCCCTGGGTCATGTGCATCCGTTGTGCATATATACAGACATATATTGTGCTTTGTGTTGCACAAGTGCTCATGCATACAGAGTCAATAGAAACTGGCACATAGAGATCTAAGTGAAAAAAATCATACAAATCTGCCATTCTCCCCTCACCCCGTAAACAAAAGGAAAGAAAAAATTAAAAGTCTTGACATATGCCACTGGATCATATCTCTTTCCCCATCCTTGACCAAAGGAAGGAGGCAGAAAATGAGAGGGGGGAAAAAAAACCGGTTTGGGATGGATGACTCCCAAAGCCCGTGAGCTACTCACATGGAGCCAGCTTTCATTGTATGTAAGACTCTCAGCACATGGGACCAAGTTAATAAAAGACAAAGGACAACAGAGGAGCGCGCTTCTGGTTCCACATCTGGAAAGAAATCTACCCTGTGGATTTACACGTTAAGGTGAGCTAGTTAAAGTAGGCAGTAGTACATCAATGGACTATTGTGTTCTAACAAATGTGGATCATTAGTTGACATTTTCCTTTAACATATGTCTTCCTTTGGGGAGGTTTATTTCAAAATGGTGACTATCCCCAGCCCTCCCCTATAGATGGTACTTCCGTAAAAGTTCAGACTGCCAAGGATGTTTTCTCTCGGGGAAGCGATCTGGAATTTTTATCTTCAGGAAATCCTGGATGCACTTCTCCAGCTCTTCTTCGATGGAGAGCTTTTCTTTCGCAGCTTTCTTTTTGCTGCTTATGTTCGACTCCCTGGAGCCCGACGTCAGAGTCCTGAGCAGGTCACTTTTCCGCCTCATCTCCGACTGTTGGATCAGCTGCACGGGGCCCTTCTTAATGGGCCTGTCCAGAGTCTGGATGTTGCTCTGGCGCGTTACAGGACCACAGATCACCGTCTCCTGGGGAGAGCTGGCCTCTGACTGGCTGTCGCAGCTGGAAGTGGAGAGGTCGTTGCAGGAGGTGCCGCTCTCCCCTTTGTCTCCCTTGCCGTTCTTGCAGCAGCAATCGCAATGAGAGGAGGACCACCTGGAAGGCTCACCTGAAAGGCAAACACAGACCCAAAAATGAGTGCCAGCAACTCAGGGTGATGCAGAGGCAGAACACGTTAGTACTCAAAGAATACGGGTGATTCACCACAGCAACATCCAGAAGCTAAGTCATCGAAGGGACGTCCACCACTAATAGAAGACCGTGCATATTCTTGTAGAATACGGTGTCATGCTTAAGCACACCAGCACTGCACTCAAGAGCCCCAGTCAGAAATACCCAGGTGTTTATCAGCCCTGGCACTTGACAGACCCAAATTTTTAGGACTTCAGTTCAACCAGCACTAACACCAAGATAAGAATTTTCTTACTACCTGGAGTTTTAGAGATGATTTAGATGAGACAAGCAGAAGGAAATGGGTGGCAGACAGTAATCTCAGAAAGTGCTTGCCAATTTTACCATAGGTAGCATTAAACCCTCAGCTAAAGCCCCACCTGTAACAGTCAGGATTCAGGAAGAGGGTATCTAAGGGGAAATGGTAGTGGTTAGTGAAGAGGGCTCTGGCCAGTCCCAGCATCCCATTGGCTATGAGCACAACTGCTCCACTTGGCATTTGTACACATGTTGTGCTCATCCTATGAGCACAACTGCTCCATGTGGCATTTGCACACATGGAAACACCAAGACCCAGAGAACTTAACAGATATGCCATGGTTTGAACAGTTAGTGGAAGAGCTGGGATTTGAATACAGATGTCCCAAGTGTTATAACCAAGTCAATGAACTATTTCCTAAAACAAATTGCCTGTCTGTAAAACTCTTGCTTCTCAAAATACTGTTCAAGTGTGAATTTCTCTGAAGTTCTTGTGCATCTCTCCTAAAAACGTCTACCTCCCCACAGGTATGGCTGTACTTTTTAAGCACCTTGACTATTGCACATAACTACCTTATGTGTGTCCCAGCAGCTATTATACCACCATCTTCCTAATGTAGACACGGTGATGTGTTTATTGTTGCAAGTCTAATGAATCACCCAAGGTATAACAAAGAAACTTAATAATACATAGCATCTTAATAATAACTTTAAAGTAGCTGGATCTAGCCGTGCCCGAAGCTAGTCTTGTCAGTGGGCTTGTCAATTATGTGATCCAAAAAATTTCCCTTTTTAATTTAAGCCATTGTGAGAGCTTCTGTCCCCATCCCCTAAGTGTTGACTCTTGAAAATTAGTTCAGCAGTTTGGAGGCAGAGCAATTTTTCAGGTACATAGTTGGTGGCTCAATGAACTTTGAAAAATTCACAATTATGGCACAAAAGAACTTTTTCAGACATAAATTTTGGCCTCTAGCCTTCCAATCTCTTAATAGCCCCAAACCTTGTAGAATCATTCTATGTACTGATCATACATTACAGGTTGGGTGTTGTGCAATATTACTTTAACTAGGCAAAGATGTGTTAACATTTATTTAGGCTGCTGAATATTACTTTAACTGTGTAAAGTTATGTGACATTTATTTACGCTGCATTTGTTTAATGATGTAAAGGTGAGTGTTTAATCATGTAAAGAATGTGTTGCATTCATTTCACCATGTCTGCCTAAGGCACCTGATTGGTTTAATAAAGAGCTGAATGGCCAATAGCTAGGTAGAGAGAGGAATAGGTGGAGGGCTGGCGGGCAGAGAGAATAAAAAGGAGAAGAAAAAGAGAGGAGAGAAAGAGGGAGAAAAGAATGAGGAAGAAAGAGAGACACGCCCAGGCCAAGAAGCCAGGCAGCCCCCAGCCAGCAGTCAGGAGAAGCAGTGAAAGTAAGATATACAGAAGGAAAGAAAAGGGAAAATCCCAGAGGAAAAAGGTGGATAAAGAGAAACACGTTAAGTTAAAACAGCTAACCAGAAATGAGCCTAAGCTAGGCTGAGCATTCATAACAAATAAGAAGTCTCCGTGTTATGATTTGGGAGCTGGCTGGTACACAAAACAGAAAGCTGGGTACAGCTGGGCATTTCAATTCAGCCACTTCACTAATGCCATAAAAATATGAAGGAAGACTAATATCCTTATAATAATAATATAGTAGAACGATAATGAAAAATATTTTCTAAGACTTTTAAAGATGCAGTTTGATTTTACTATGTCTTATTCTTATAAAAAATAGATATCATTTTCAAAAAAATCTAGTTCATTGCCATTTCTAATATGGTCAAAGAAATGAACCTATTTTAAAAAGTCACCCCTTGACTTCCTATGTGATGTCTATATTTCACATGTATAGGTGATTCTCACACTTGACAACTAGTCATATTTTTTTCAGAAGAAGTAAAAATATTTTTCTCTAAATCACAGCCCCAGAATACCTAATTTTTACACACTCATAGACTCACTTTCTAACATATGACTGAGTAATCATTGCATTTATACAGCTATTAAATTAAATGCAACAATCCAATTAGCCAAAAGGAATCATAATAGCAGTAACGCCATAGCTATTCTCAGTTATTACAACTAAATATCTTCTGCACAACAGAGAAACCGCTCAACATGTTCCAGCTGGTGCTTGGAAATATCTACAATGAAAAACGCTTTCAGTCTGCCAGGGGATATTGAGGGGAATATTTCTCACCTCTAGTCAGAATCTGCCTCAGCTGCCTGACAACACGATCATTCTTTACTGATATAACTCAAAGCAGGGTAGTTCCAATGAATTAGACTAAATAAAAGTAATCACTTCAGACAGAATTTTATCTAACCGAGTCCACTGGAGAATGTTTAGAAATTAGATTTAGTAATGAGGAAAAGAAAAGGAAAGAAAGGACTCAAATAAGGAAGGGAAATGCAGCAAAGAGGCAAAGAGGGTATATATATATATATATATATATATATATATATATATATACATACATATTATCTGGAACATACTTGTCTATCACCTTAAAACAAGGTGACAAAATACTTTAGCCATAAGCCCTCTGAGTCAACAGAAATGTATGTTCCTGCCTGGGATTTCTCTTCCACAAGGAAGTCCCTTCAGTCACCGAGGCTCCAAAGGAAGTTTGAATCTTCTTAAGAGCCTTTAAGCAGCACCCAAACCCATATGTGATCAACTCCTGTGCACTCATGTGCAACCTTGCAAAGCATTAGCAATCAAGGGGCCTAGCACTGCTGCAGCTTGTCTCCTAAAGGTGCTGGGAAGATCCTGCATCTAAGTGTCATCTGGGATTTTCCAGCTTCCAGGCAAATAGAACTATTACCTTCCACTCATCCTGGACACTGTCACTCTTACAAGGAAATTGAACAACTTACTTTTGGTGTAGCTTGTCACTACTGCACATTTCAATATGGCACAAGAACATTTGAATATTTTACGATTTGGGCAAGGTAATTTATAAAATGGCTTCTGAGGTTTTTATATTCTTTTGAAATCAAGGAAGAAGATGGGATTAATATAGTCCAAACAGAGCCGATATGAAATTTGAAAATAGACGTGTTGAACAGAGGTGTTCACCATCTCCTTCTTGGAAGCACTGTGTCCAACTACCCTCTTCCCAAGAATGTAACTGAAGCCGAAGTATGAAACTAGGGTGGAAGGGGGCTGAAAGCTCAGGGTGCTTTGCCTTTGCAGTCTCTCAGAGGCGTGCTCCCAAACCTTAAGAAGTCATGAAAGACCCAAGCAAGGCCAGTTTTGTAATGTAAGGTATTCTAGGACGTTTCCAACTGTGGAAAACAGCAATGTCACAAATACCCCGGGGCTGCAGATTTAAATACTTCCACTCCTAATTTGGGAGGTTTCAACACTACTTGGAGTCTTTCCATTTAGCTAGAAAACAGCTATAACAACTGATTGGCCATATATAAGGAGAAAATTATTTCTTTCAAAGAAAAATCTAACTTAATGATATTAAAAAGAGAAGAAAATCCAATGCCTTTCACAGGTTTATTAATTGCTAAACCTAAAATTTGATAATACCACTTTTCTTATAAGCCATTTCTGAATGTGAGGGCTTCTGCAACATTTTTTGTATCTGGCACATAATAGATTTTTAATAAATGTTTGATGAATGAACAAATGTGCTAAAAATATACTTTCAGATGTTTCAAGTTGAAAACATGGCAGAAAAGATCTCAGGCTCCAGCATTAGGCACAACAATTTGACAAGTGTGACTCTTTGGAACAGTTGCTTGAGATCTCTGAGAGTCATCTGAAAAGTAATTAAACTAATAGTTCTTGTTTATAGATGTTTGAAGAAAATTAAATGAAATCATTGAAGTAAAGGATGCCTCAGTCTATAGCACAAAATATGTACTCCATTCACTCAAATATATTGGCCATACTACAAGCCAGACCTCAATCAGCATAAACATTTCAACAAGAAATTTGACTGATATAGTAATGATTCTGCTACAAATGTACTGTATACTCAATATTTACTGAAGGCTCAAGTACCTCATTAAGAAAGACCCTGCAGCAGAGCTGGACACAGTAGAAAAGTATTAACTGAGTATCTGGTAATGCCTGACTTGCCATTGGAATGGAGAATAATGATAAGCATAAAAAGTATCCAGCAGGTACCATGAGACCAGAAATATTTCTAGAAGAAAGGAGTCTTTCAGTGCAGTGCTTAAAAGTTAACAAGTAGATGAGTCCTCTAGAATAAAGATTTACTTGAATTATTTAAATGCAGGATAGGAAGAACTTTGTATTTTAAATTAAATGCAGGGAAAGTGGGAAAATCAGCTGTCCAAATATCTACATTCAAATCTTTGAATATTTTACATCTGGGCAAAATCAAGGACCAGTCAAGCAGATGGCATGACTGAGGTGTCCCAGCTTCCACAAAGCCCTGAGTACAGCGGTTCTTACTGGTAAGAAGTAGGAGAGGAAAGCCTACAAAATATGCCTCCTCCATGAAAAATTCAAGGCCAGCTGAGTGAGACATGACTTAGCAAACTCACAAAGTGCTTATGCATTTTTAAAGGAGGCATCTCTGTAATCTACCCACACTTCAAATTCTCCACCTCCTAATGATTGTGAGTACAATGTACCACATTACAGCAGTGGCT